AAACCTTGCCATGCAAACCCAATACAGGTGTAATTGAAAAAAATTGTGGAATTAATGAGTGACAGATGAATATAGTTGAAAGCAGAAGTCATTAATTTCTGCATAAAGTTTAAAAACCTAACCACCAAGTAGAAGTGTTCACCTGTAAAATGTATGCATCTTCCATGCTGATGCATACCCTTGTGTTGTAGCTAAGCTTTCCAAACTGTATTACAGATGCAGTGGTTAGTACTTGAATAGAAGCACTTTGCCACTGTGTAGAAAGTTCCATGAAACAGAAATGTTTAGTCTTTTTTTGGTAGATCTAAGAATGGATACTCTAAAAAAAAAAAAAAAAAAAAAAATTAAAAAAATCTCATTTTGGTCATTATTGGCACTATATCTTTATTCCTGAGGAATGAATTCTCAATTGAAAAGCTGAACAATTGAAAATTCTACCATCTTGCTATTGGAAGTGACTATCTTTAAATCAATTACAAGTTTTTGAATTCATCCACCATGATACAGAGTTGGTAATGCCTGTGAAACATTAGGTAATTTCCAGTGGATTTATCTGCATTTGTAAAAGTGGAAACTGGGTGAAGCTTAGCTAAAAGTGAAGTGCTTGACTTATCTTCTCTTTGCAAGAACTGTTTTATCTTCTTTGCTTTGCAGTTTAAAGATGAAACCAGATGTTGTTTTGAGACATCTGTCCATTGCGGTGGCAGCTAATGACCAGAGTTACATGCCACAGCAAGTTACAGTGGCAGTGGGAAGGAATGCCAGCAGTCTTCAGGAGGTCCGAGATGTTCACATTCCAAGCAATATCACTGGCTACGTAACACTGTTGGAAAACGCTAACATTAGTCAGATGTGTGAGTCAATAAAGATACCATTGGTATATTGTTTTGCTGCTTTTGTGAAGGTGAAAGTTTGGGTAGATCACAGAATGATGTGTTGAAATGTCAGGTCATTAGAGCAGAAACTTTTGACCTCATCCTTGGGTCAGAGAAATTGTTTTAATTGTAGTTTAATTTCTAGCCTGTAAGAGAGTCTTCCGAGTCTTTCTCATGGCATCTGTCTGTAACTTGGGCTAAAGGTTGAAGAGCTAGAATGACTAAAGATGCGGTTTTAGCCCTTCAATTTGAAGACACTGGGCAATTTTAAAATATCTTTGCTTGCAGAATGAAAGCATATCTTGGCTGGCAAAAAATCTGCTTCTGAAAAGCAGGTTTTATGTTAAGGGTTTTTAAGTAGTGTTATTTTTAAGTCTGGTAGGTCTGTGGGTGCTATATTAGAATCAATCAGAGGAAAGCTGCTCCTTCTTAAGATGGTTTCTGCAGCTTCAGAAATTTTGTCCCTTCAGTTCAAATAGGTACTTTTCACTAAGATGAACTTTCGCTGCCACAGAAGTGGGCAGAAAAGACGTTGTTCCTCAAAAGTAACTAGGACAATGTTATCTACACAAAATGGTCAAGAACTTATGTGAAAATTTTTATGTAACTTAAATTTTGCTTTTAGACTTTACTCTTTTTCTCTATCTTTTCCACTACCACCCCCAAGACACTTCCTATGTCTGTAGGTAAAAAGGTACTGGTGAATTAATCTATAATCTATTTTCCACTTTGAGGGTCTTTTACTGCTTTTTTTCCTAATTTCTGGCTGTACAATATATAGTGGATCACATAGGCCATTCAAAGGCTAAATTTTCCAAATCGTAGGGTGCACAGAGAAGAAATACATATGTTTAGTTGTCTATGTGTGGGAGTACTGTTAGATATCTGCTGCTATTTTTCTAAGAGATTTTGCAGTAATTATTGTTTTGAATATCTGGATTTTTCTGGATCTAATCCAGCAGAAGAAATGGGAAAAAAAGTTCTGTTTTGTGTTTTGACAGATGTACAGATAAACATCAAGCGTTGCCTTAGTGATGGATGTGACACTAGAATCCATGGACTCAGGGCCGTGGGCTATCAAAGAGTCAAGAAGGTGGGAGTCTCTGTATGCGATGCTTCGGCTATCTGGTACTGGTCTCTGCTGACCTCTCTGGTAACAGCTTCCATGGAAACAAATCCAGCATTCGTTCACACTATTTTACAAAATACTCAGTAAGTACCAAACTTCAATGGTGTGTCACTTTTTTTTTTTTCAATTTTTTGAATACTTCCAGCTTTAGTAAACTAATCTGCCTTGTATAACTGGTTTCCACTCCCTCCATTAAGGTGTTTAAACATCTTTTTAGCTATCACACTGTTTGAATTTTGGTATTTCTCTTCTATCCGTTTACACATACTGGAACAAGTGTAGTTCTCCTAGGTGTTGTATCTAATCTGGTTCTTAAGCCATGACTGAAAAGACACTGAAAAATACAGTTTTTTACCTATCCTTGGACTTGTAATAATTTCAAGACTAAAATTATCAAGGAAAATTAATTAATTTTATTGATTATAAGTATTGAACACCCTTAATTTATAGCTGGAGCTTAATTTAGCTTAATTCTCAGGAAATTTTTGCTCGTGTAATACCTTGTCATGCATTACATGGAGATGTAGTCAGGTATATGCAATATCTCTGGGCAGATGTTTGCTTGTGTGATCTGCCGTTTTCTGTGTAACATTTCCTTGTTTGACTGCCAAGCATTTCTGCTCGATGACTTGAAGGATTGGAATCCTAATAAAATCACGACACACCCACATTAACTTTTATAGAGCTTAGTTAGCATGGTGCCACCACGCCTAAGAGCACTGCTTTCATTAGGTTAACGAATACTGTAGACTAAAGTTCATTAAGCTTATCTTAATTTGTGTCATCTATGAAACCTCGTTGAAGTTTAGATAACTTTATACATACTTACATCTGAGGATAGTTAATTGTTGCAAGCTTTACTAAAACTGAGCGCCGTCAGTTTTGCTGTAGTTTAGATATTTAGTATTTTTTTAAATATAACATGAACACTGAACTAATAAAGCCTAAAAAAGTTATAACGGAGAAATCTTGACTAAAAATATGCTTTCAGGAATTACAAATTCAGTGTTTGGAATTATAAAGCAAAAAGCTAAACTTTAGTATTGGATAGAATGACTTTGATGAAACCACTTAAGAATTCCTATTTTCAGAAGTTGCTACATTATCTTCAGAAATCAAACAAAAATTCTGGTCTGAGCTAACAAGTTTCTCTCTTGGTTTCTGTAGTTGTTTTAAAGGGAAAATTGCTTTTAAATTCCTTCATTAACAGGCTCTTACTCAATTCTAGAACTATTAAAATGAAAGAGAACTTGGACACTAAGCTATTTCTAATGCTGTCACAGATTTAGTTCAAAATGCCTTGATTTATTTGTCTCATTAACTCTGAGATTATGAAGCTAGCTTCAAGATTACCTAGCAGTTGTTGAACTTTCCCTGCCTAGAATGCAACACTGTTTTTACCTTTTGGAGAGACTTTCTGTGTAAATAGATTTTCTGCACTCAGAAGCTATTTGTAGAGACCAGCTTGCCAAAAGCATGACGATTCAAATGTCTAATTCATTTTAGAATACTGTTTTCTCTGATTCTGTCTGTTTTTCTGATGTTATGTTCCATCCTTTTTACTAGGAAAGCACTACAACATATGCCACCTCTATCACTCACACCAGGCTCTACAGATTTTTCAAGCTTCTTGTCTCCAAATGTTTTGGAAGAAGTAGATAGTTTCCTTATAAGAATAACAAGGTGAGTTTGTGTTGATGTATTTTGATACAGTGGAAGATGTTTTAGAAGAACTTGTATAGCAAATTTATCTTATTTTTACTCACCTGCTCTTTTTTTAGTATCTTGAAAAATTCAAAGATGTTAAGAAACAGGCATCTTAGGACTTTCCATGTGACCATTATTTGTCTTTATTTAAAAACAAAGTGTCCTGAGTTTTCTTTTCATACTGTTGTTTTTTTCCCTCCCCAGTTGTTGTACTACTCCAGAGGTTGAACTTACACTCTTGGCCTTTGCCTTAGCCAGGGGGAGTGTTGCTAAAGTGCTAAGTTCCCTTTGTACAATCACTGATCATCTGGACACACCATACAAGGCTTCATCGCTTATCACTTCCATGGCAACAGTCAGACAGAACCTGCTGTATAAATACGGTACATAAATAATTGTTGTATCCTTTACTGTACATACTTCAGACAATATGCAGCTGCAGCTTTGAGTTGTTTTACTTGTTGTTCTGCTGGGGTTTAAAATTACACAGGCCTTCTAAATTAAGAAGTGTTACCAAGAAGATAACCTGTGAAGCTAACCACCCTAAAAGTTGGTGATTAGATCAGCTTTCTCTGATCAAAGAATTGAACCAGGTGGCATCATCTTGAGGGAGAAAACTTTGTAGATAGTGGCCCTTATATCAAGATGGTGATAGTTTTCGTATTATATAAAAGGCAAATGACATCAAGTTTTTTTATTCTTCCAATAACACACTTTTTTGTATGTTTACCTTCAGTAAGCGGTCTCTTGCAGACATGTGCACAAATTTAAGATGTGTTTTAAATTTTATGTCATTAGGGTCTATTTACAGTTCTTTTCACTTATGAATTAATCTGAGTATGTCATAAGTGTATAGCTGTGCGTGGTCTGGCATAAGGTGGTAAGATTTTGCTGTATTGACTGTACTTGTTTAAGAAATCTGTATTTTCTCAGGTGTCAACTTCTGAGATAATCATTACTCTCTCATGAAGAATTTTTCCCCTTCTTTGCCTTTTAGTATATTTTGTCAGGACTTCTTGGCTTGTGCCAAAAAGAACATTAATTATAATATCAGTGTTTACTTTCAGAAGTTTTGAAAATTGCATAGTTTCTCCCAGAATAGCTGCTGCGTTTTGTAAGACGAGTGGAATTTCATGTATTGTGAATTCCAAAGTGTACAAACAGTTGAAGGAGCATTAGTTGTCATGACTTTCATTGTCCTTCTGTCTGTATCTAAAACTTGAGCTATTTTAGATTGACTTACCTCTTATACTCCAGTTTCTTCCCCCTTTTTTTGTCTGGCAATGGTAAAAATCTCATAATATTGTAATTTTTTCCATTTACTTTCTTTATGAAGAACTTTAGAAAGAATATTTTCCATTTTTTTTAATGAATTTGATAAACCTGTTGATTTTCTTACTTAGGAAAACCTTTACGACTAACTCTGCAAGCATGTGATGTAAAGGGAAAAGAAGATAAATCAGGGCCTGAAAACCTCCTGGTAGAGCCGTGGACTGGGGATGGTAAGAGCCTGATCTTAAAATCAAGAATATTCAACCAGAAACAAAGGCTGTTAACAAGGCTGTGTTGCTGTTCCATATATATTTATATATATTTGGTGCTACTCAATATTTTATGATATGGAAGATCTGTAATTTAAAAAAAAAAAAGGCAAAGCAACAACAAAACCAAAAACCCCAAACAATATGTAAATTCTGTTTTACAACGAGGTGGGTTTCTCAGGAGCTAGTTTATTGTTAAAACAAACAAACAGAAGATTGGGTTTTGGGGAGAATTATTGATATTCTGCATGGAAGTCAACAGTGAGCTGTCACAAAGAAAACTGTACTACAGCACATTCTGTGGGTTGAAGTCATGAATCATTCACTGCTAGTTTCCCAAATATTGATGGAGAGACATGGTAGAAATCATTGAAATTTTCACTGGCTGTGTGTAACTGTTCTAAAGCCCATCTTTGTTAGTGCAATGGTTTTACGTACTGAATACAACCTAAACAAAGAGATTCGTATTTCTTGACCTCCTTTTTAAGTGAAATGCTACCTAATCTTTTTTTTTAAAAATTGTGTATTGTCTTGTGCAGTGCTACTGGTAAATGAAAGCTATTGTGACAGAAAATCAGGCACATTCTAAATGCTTATTTTACTCTGCTGTTTGCTCATGTGTATTGTTTATTTTTTTACTTATTTTGTGGATTGCCTTCCATTGTTTTATGGATCAGAGTTTGGGGAACAGTGAATTGTATCAGTGAATAGAGCCAGAAGCCAAAGTAATATTTGGGAGTTACTGATTGCCTTTAACTGAGAAACACTCTTGAAACTGCTGCAGATACTGCAGTCCCAAGAGAGAACCTGGCTGGAGAGATCTGCATATACTCTTGAGGGAGCATATACTAACATAATACAGTCTTTTTACATGTCTCTTTTATTTGGAAACATTTACTAATGAGCATTTCACTAGAAAAGCATTGTGGTTTTGTTTTCCCCCCCTTTAGTCCACAATCTTAGTATTCGCTTTCAAACAGCTTGCACTAGCAGTCCTTTCAACCTCATTCTGTTCCCACTGCTACTTTAGGTTTTCTTACTGAAACTGGGAAAACCGGAGCAAGTATTATTCTTTCTACTGGAACTGAATCTTCATTTCAAGTGACACAAATTAGAATAAAGGTATGAGTTCCTGTATGCTTTTGAAGCAGAAGGTTTGGGTTTTTTCCCTAATGGTAGAGTTGAATCGGAATATTTTTTTTATATGAACTCAAATTTTAAATTCATCATGAAATAGTGTTATTTTAGGGTTTTACTTTGGTGTAAGTCACAGGGAACTTAAGGAAAGCAAGGTCTTAAATTGTTCCAGGGTGCCACAAACACATAGTAAAGACATTTATTTTATATTGCTTTTTTTGCAATATACGCAAGCCAGTGATTCTTAGGTGTATCATTTCTCTCTAAAGAGCATGGATTTGTATGTAAGATCTTATATTTAAAATAATTTTTTGGCTCTGAATAGCAGGTTTCAAGATATATAGCATATGAGTTCAGATTAAATGTAGGTCTTTCAAATTCTTTTTAGAGGCACCAGTGTAATTTTAAACATTTGATGTGTGGTGTTTTGTTTGGTGTTTTGTTTTTTTTTTTTTTTAATCTGGTTTAAAAGCAAGATCTTGTGATTGAATCTCATGGCCAGGACAAAACTTCAGTGAGATTTCTGCAGCTGAATTTACTTATTTATTTAAGGCAAAGCAGTAGTTTAGTTCCTAGTACAAAGATGCATATTTCAGTGTCAAAGAGAATTAAACACGGATGGGCTTCTGGCAAGTAAATTCTAACTGGCGCTGGAGAGGCAGCTAAGCTGTTTTGCAGAGTAGTGATACTAGGATACACAATTTTAGTTTTGTTTATTTTTTAAAAATAAAGTATACAAAATTAGAATGAGAATTAACACGTGGAACTCTAGTTAATGTTAGGGTGCTAGCAGGGTGATAAATGTAGCAAATGTTAATCATGTACATGATCCTGGTTCAGTGGGTTGTAAAAGTTTTCATAACACTTCTCTAAATGTATTTCATTTTTCAGTGCAGTTCCAGAGATCAGTATTGTCAGTGTTTAGTTGCTTTCCATAACTTTTTTCCTGTGAAAGCAACATTTTCTTTTATTGTCAACTTTTTAATCCATTTCTCTGGATTTGTTCTTTTAGGTCCGAAGAGGTGCCATTGGGGCCCAGTGTGGACTGGTGTTTGCTTATAATACTACTTCAGAAAAGTTCCACGCAGAGGAACACTTCAAAAGATTTGAAAGCTATGACAAATGGAAGCTGCGGGAATTCAAACAATTTTTAAAAAACAGGTATAGGTGGACCTTTTGCAATGAATACATGGAAAATAAATGTTATATTAGATCTTTTTGCAATGCCACTTGAACTACTGACAGTTGTTCCAAATGACTTAAAAATGATACATCATTTAATGGTTACTTGTTTGATTTTAATGAACCTCAATTTGATATGTTTGAGGAAATATATATATATAGCTGTTGTTTCCAACCTCTTGATTTAAAGACCTGTTTAAATAGGGATATAACAAAACAGACTTTCTACTTGAGGTGCAGATCACTGGTAACGGAAACAATTTATAGGAAGATCGTATGTTAATTAGCTTTTATTAAATTATTTTCTCAGAAGTGTTGCTTAGGAGTGAGGGAGGTTGGGGACCATGACTAAGAAGATTTCTCTGCTTTTCTTACCTTGCATGTGATAGAGTTTGGGAATGTGAAAGTTTCTGTGGTCTCTCATCTTTATAACCATAACATTCTAAAAATATTTTGGTAGAATATCAACAGCTTTGCAGTTTCTTTGGTTTTTTTCTTTACAAAGTTTGTTACATTCTTTTATACACAGAAGTAGTTCTTCATGTGATGATTTGGGAGATGATGATCCTATTGGCTGGTTTGAAGTGGAAGAAGAATGGGATGAAGTTGATGTCAAAATGCAACAATGCAGAATTTCTCAGGTAAGAAACCATAAAAATCTGTTGGCTCAGTCACAGTGAGCAGAGGCTCATTTCTGTGCTTTGTTGTAATGCCAGTTGAAATAAACAGAACTCTCTTTTTGTGCATGGAGAACTCTTCTGAGTAGAGGTAAAAATCAATGAGCTTCTAGTTAAACGAATGATTCAGCTTGTCCTCTGAGTTTTATTCTTTTCCTCTGTATGTACACAAATATAGCTGTAGTTAAATGGTGCTTCAGGATCAAATGTAATGCAAAATTAAGTGATAATGCTCAGACTACTGATTTTATCATGAGGAAATATTTCTAAAAAGGGTGACATGATTGTTGCTTTATTCTAATTCTAGGCGAATTAACTACTGCATAGTTACAATGTTTATTCTTTCAGAGCCAAGGTCTTCAACCCTAGTTTTAAGGGACAATTACTAAGCAGCTCCATCAGTTAGGTTGATTTCTTAGAGGAATGTGGGACTTTTCTGTTTCAAGAGTGGCTGAATATGGGTTTTACTTTGTAGTGCTTAAGAGGGAAACTTTGCATTTCAGATCCTGCGTTTATCTTGTTTCTGGAGTCAGGTGTTGCATAGTTCTCCAGTCCTTTTTTGTACTATGGAAATTAGCAGAAAAGGTGGCACAGTTATAAGTCAACTGGGAATTTTTCTAAAACTGTCACTGCTTGCTAAGACATTCTGCTGTTGCCTGTGTAACCCTTAGTCCCTGAGACTTATGAGTGTGCGGAGTTACTAAGTACATTTGGATGGCAGAACTTGCTGTTCCCTTCAGCTTTGTGTTCTGTACCTCATTGTGGACAGATTGCATAAAAGTATGGTTTGAATGTTACATATTGATCCTCTGCTTGCTGTTAAATGCAGTTAAATAATTTTTCTAACCTGCAAAAATGCTTTAACTTTAGAGCCAAGGAACAGAATACACAGAATGAATGGAACTGGTGATGAATTAACTAACTTTGCAGATGCTTGTAGGAGTCACAGAACCATCACTGTGACTTTTTTGGAAGTGGGGAGAGTTCAATTCAGTATTTTAAACTTCTGGAGGTGATTGACAGGGACTTAGACTTGCCCCCAACCCCACCTGCAGTCTCCTCACATGTGTGCACTCATGTCTTTTAAAAGCCAAATTTGTAACAGGTTTTAAAACCAAATCTTGTGCTGTGTTTATGTCCTTCTAGTACTTGATGATAAAATTCTTGTGCACAAGACAAGACACAGCAGAAAGACTCGGAGTTCAAGGCCTGAATGTTCTTGGGTATCTTCGGCCTATGCGAGACGAGCCCAATAGGAGCATGAACTGCTTGCAGTGCAAGAAAACTGATGACGATACAGTTTGTGGCACAACTCTTCTCCTGAAGACGCTTCATTTCATCCAGCAGCTGGCACAGGACCTGGTATTTTTACTTCTTGGTTCTTTTTAAGCATGTATTTACCATGCTAAAAGTAATAAGGCTATGCTAACAGTAATTGTGAATGTATGAAGAAGAGTCTTGGTACTAGGTAATAGCAACTGTTAAAACCATGCTGTGGAGAAGAAAAAATGGTTTCTGAAAAGTAGCATTCTGTGTATGTTTACTGAAGTCAACTAGGAATATGCTCACTTTGAGTCCAGAAGAGAGTTAAGAACCATTTTTCAGCGTCAGGTTAAAATGCTGGGTGAAGTAGATGCAAGCGGAGGATGCTCTATTGTCTGTTAGATAGTGTAGCTATTTCTGAAGCAAGCATCTGGAAAAATGCAGTGGTAGCTAGGAAGGTTGCATAGATTAAAACATGTCCTCTATTTGTCTGAAAGAATTCTATAAGTATCTATGGTGAGGTGTATACAGTTAAGAGATGTGGCTGGTATATGCTGATGGATGTCAGCATGATGTAGCCTACTTCTGAGGATACATGTCAAAATCATGGTTTGTTCATACAGTGCATGCATCTGTGCCTTCTCAGCTTTGATTCTGAACCATGGGCAGTCTCATTTTGGCTATTACTTACTTTCAGTCAAATTAGATGAAGAGGTAGAGGTGTAAGTCTTTTGGCGGTGGAAGACAGGGATGGGAGACTAGACATCTAGAAAGAGGAGAGTCCTTATTAGTAGCTATATTTAGGGGAAGGTTTCGGCATGAACTGTCACATTTAGACACTGGAATATCCATGAAAGAACTTACTGAAATTCACGTTAGCTGCAAATTTGTAGGAAACTAGGCTGCTTTAAGCCCGGTGCTCAGGGATTTACCTTTTATGAATGTGTTTTGTATAGAGTTAATTTTCCAATCCTGCATTTTCTTTGCTTTTTTAAGGTTCAACAGAAGGAGAGTGGATTAAAATACAAGTCATTCTTAGATTTCACAGGCCTTGATTTGCAGCTGTTCTGGAATTTTTACAATAAACTTCACCAAAAGTAAGTCACTTCATTACTGTGTGGTGAAGCACTAGTCTCTGTGTGTATGTATAAATAAAGTATGCTTAGTTTATAGTTGCAGCAATTTCTTCTTCCTAAACTACATCATTTACATAAATAACAATTTCCTGCTGCTGCCATATGAATTTTTAACTATAATGTTAGGTAGAAGCTTGATATGTAGATTAATTTAGCTGGTAGCTATACTTTTTCTGGTTATGTGCTCTCTACTCTGTTTTTTATCCACCTGAGATAGTGACTTTCATAGCATTATCCATTTGGTGCAAAAGACCTTCTTTTCTAGTTTTTGTTTCTGTTTGTTTTATGCTTTCTTACAGCCCAAGGGAAGAATGTATCTTTGCTCAAACACTGCTATTGCAGCTTCTCCAGAGCTGCTTCTCTGTACTTACTGGAGACAATAAAACTGCTAAACCTCAAGAAAGTTCTCAGAGCAAAACATCTGGTCACACAGAAGCTGCAAAAGAGCTTTATAGACATTTGTGTGAAGGTAATTTATATCAAATATGTTAACTGTTTTGTCTGCTCTGGCTTACAAGTATGTTAAAATAGTTACAATTTGGGAAAAGAGATTTATTCCTAGAGGCCAAGTCAGCTACTATTCCTTCTTAAGGTCAGTGTGTGCTAATTAGCCCATCACAGTGAAACTTTCCTTGACCCTATGAAATGGTTTTATAGACTTTCTGACAACAAGTGGTCTTGAAACAGTTGCAATAGAAAACTTCTTGCAAATGTGTCACCTGCTTGAACCAGCAGGGAATGTGATCCTTTAACTATAGTGTTATTTGGATTCATTTATTTCTGATATTTTGTATAATATAAATGATCTTATAAGGAGCCTGTAAACCTTACAGAAACATAGGGAAGATTCTGGAACCAGTGAATAGAATGGGAAGGACGCATTAGACTTCATCAGAAGTAGGATGGCATCCACTTTATTCAAGTGTAATTTGTTTGTTAATTACCTGATAGTCTCCTAAAAAGCAAACTAGAGAGAAACCAGTTTTTAAAGATGCGATAGATTCTATATAACTTTATTAGCTTTGATAGTTGTCAAGTCTGAATGTTCCTAGAATTAATTTACTCAATGAATAAATACATCCTTAGAAAACTCTTTCTTGCTAAAAGTCAAAAGGTTTCCGCTCATTTTCTGTGTGTATAGCGGTATTGCAAGGGCTTGAAGTTGTGTAAAATAGCACATTTAATTCAGTTATGCCTCTGACGTATTAGCTGGAGTATTAATTTGAACTTGTAATTTTGTTTCCTTTTTGTATGAGCAGTGGTGGATATGGGGGACAGTAACTTCATACCAATGAAAATGCTGAAAGAGGAAGTTAAGAACACCTTACTCACTGGAGCAGCAATCTTTTTCCCAGATAGACAGACCAGGCGACACCAGCTCTTCACCATGATGGTAAACCATTAAATGAGAAATTGATTGTTTAGTACCTGCTTTCTTTACGCAGAGAAGAGGACAAATCAGAGTTCTTGTTGTCTATTAATGTATACGTGGTCCTATTAAAGTAAAAACCTTCGGTTTTTTTTCTTTGCCTCTTTTTACCACACCCCCCCCCCACAGCTTATACAAAGAAAGAGAAGCTCACCCTGCCTTTCTTACCAAAAATGAATAGTAGAACGCAGAAATTAGAATTCTTTCTGACAGAGGAGGGAAACAGAACATAACATAAAAATAAATCTTTTTCCTTTTCTAGAAAAACATCACAGAGCAAGAACATAAGCAATCTGTACATCTTGCCTTCAGATCCTTGTGTACCCACTTCAGGTAGGCGGTCCTGAAATTGAAAATAATTGTCTGATACCCCACATCTGTTAATAAGTTCATATTTAATCCTTTTTTACAAGTGTTATTCCCCTGGAAAATAATTCTCAAAAATAATCAACTGACTTTGTTTTAGAAAGGAGAATACTACTATTTAATATGTTTATTAACTGAATAGCTGTATAAAACATTGTCCAAGTTTAGTGCTGAAATCACAGTATATTGCTCTTAAGCTTCTCCTAGGCTGTCTTCCAATTTTTTAAGTGATTGTTTGTCCATGGGGATGATTGGTATTGATTTAATCAATCTGGAGACATCAGAACCCAAACTTTTGATTTTCATAGTAATTATGCAGTAGGATCTCTACAGATTTGTCAGAAAGATAACTAAATTTGTGGTTTGGAACTGTGCTACTTGTTGGTTAGTAAGAAGGTCTTTGTTTTGTAGTGATCAGGATCCAGGTGGACTCCTGTTATTACCAGAGAAAGGAGTTTCTGCAAATTTTGACATAAGTGAAGTGCTATCAGTCATGGATACCCTTCTGCTAGTGGCAGCAAGAGAGGTAACTGTCTTTGCACTGTTCCTCTTCCTACTTCTTTGCCGTGATTTTTGTATGCATTCGAACACAAGCTGCATGCCTGAGATGTATGCTAAGGAATTAGCTTTTCTGCCCTCCTGGATAAAACTATTCATGGCTATTCAAGTCTGTAGGATTAGGTTTTCCAACTAATTGAAGTATTTTCCTTTAAGTATTAACATTTCATAATAGTAGAGTAAATAATGTATAAGATGAGGTATTTTTCTGTAGCATTGAAAAGTGTATGGCACCCTATCAACAGTAGGAAACAGAATTAATCATCCCATATTGAGAGGTTAGAATTGGTCGTGCCTCTAAGGGAGGTGTAAACGGAGGAGGCTCATTTACATATGCAGAAAAAATGTGCTGAGAACGAGTGACTCATATGTAGCTATTCCTACTTAAAATTGCGACTTGTCAAAACAAAATATATCGGCTGCTTCGTGGCATTATATGCTGCTCATCAGTTGCGTTTAATCTTTTTTGTGGGGTGAGTGGGATAGTAATGTCCATCATTGTTTAATTCGTACATATTGTGTGTCATTCTGCGGCAGAAGAGGCTATCCTTTTGTTACATTCTTTATTTTTCAGTGTGAAATGATGATGCTGGATGTTGCACAGCAAGAGAGTGGCACAGTCTTGTCTTCCTTATTCTGGTCTGTTCAAGGTAGCCTCCTTTCGTGGTGCTACCTGCAACTTAAGGGTAGCGATAATTCAGCCAAGGATCTTGCAGTAGAAATACTTAAAAACTGTAAGTGCTGGAACTGAATGCAGAATTAAGTATGGTGTAATACAGGGCTTTAGAATGTGATTTTGCAAATTGCAGTATAACAAGGGTTCACCAGTGGTTGCCTGAGGCATACTTTTAACTGTCATAGCATTTCTAATCTCTCTAGGAAGGTATTTGTAGGCATATTGAACAACTAAGAATTTTAGCCGTACCGATAATTTTGTGTTGGGAGAATCTTCAGAAAACATCTCAGTAAGTTTTGGGGGTCAAATACTGAAAAAAAACCAAACAACACACAGTCATAGACTTTGATTTGAACATTTTGGTTTCTTTAAATGTCCCTTATTTTGATAAGCTCCTGTGTGGTGATATGCATTTTCCTAGGTGTTTGTGATAGCAAGAAGAAAGGAACTTACTTAAGCAGCTGGATACTTCTAAGGGGTGTTTTGCTACAGTGGATTGATTTTTTTGGTGGATTTTTTTTGTTTTTTAATGCAGCAGCTCAGTACTGAGTAGTTAATTTGGCCAAATACTTAATGGAGGTGTAATTTTATGTAAAACTGCTTCATATTTATGTTATGTGTGTATAAATAAGTTTGTTGTATTCCTCTCTTACATTTAAAAATGGAGTAAGGCTATAACTAAAAATTACTAGCCTCACTTGTTAATTAAACTGCGTTTCTTAGTTGTGTAGGGAGACTACTGGATACACTGAGATTGTTGAAACGATCTTGGAGTGTTTGATTAAATTACTCATCACTCATCTCTTTTTAGTAGTATCGTTGATAAGCATAACTTGTTTCCACAATAGAAATATCACAGAAAACTTCTCTGAACTGTTTTCACTCTTGAGTGTCACTGCCTTGGGGCAGCAGATGCCTTTCCTGCTGTCTGTCTTCTTGTGCACATCACCATGCACTTAAGTGTTTGATAAAGCAGGTTGTGGTACCAAATGCTTAAGGTGGCTATTAAGGGGTTTTTTTCTCTTTAGATGTGGGCCAGTTCCTGTCAAATACCAGAACGATTTTGCAGTCACTTTTATCTCAATATAGTGGCAAAACAATAGTAGAAAAAATAAGTAACTCTGTCTTTGCTATGGCAACTCGTCAGCTGGTAAGTGAACATTGGGATTTTGTACTATTCCTGGGTAGCATGGCTATGGTTATGTGCGTTTTCATGAGACCTGTGTTTTCTCCTAGGTCATCTTCTTGTTGGATTTTTGCACTTTAGACATTCCATACTGTATTCTGCTACAGGGATTCAGCACTTTGATAGAACCACTGAAAAGCCTTTGCAGTGAGCCTCATAAGGTAACTAAAGATGCAGGCGTTATTCAGTACAGTGAAACAAAAGCAAAATTGCGAGAAAGACGTAGAAAACTGAGGTGATTTTATTGGTGAGCATTTGAAAGGAGCTGGGAAGCTTCTAAAAGCATGGGATGTGTAATGAAATGTTGAGTGAAGAACTAGAAATATATCTGTACTCGTATGGAAGATGAGCAAAGTGACCAGAAAGTGCAACTGGAATGAGAAGCCTAGAAGATAGATAGGAAGGAGGGATTCTGAGGATGAAGAGGAAAATAAAATAAAAATAGTATGTGCTTAACATTTTTAGCTTTATTGCTTATGATGATGCAGATAAAGTCTGGATCTGTAGTGTAGATGTTTAAATCTGCATTAGTCATCCAGACTGTCTTTTTATTTTCATTGGAGACTTGTAGGCACTTCTGGGGTGAGACTGTCTCCTCCTCCAGTAGACTCGATGAATTTTGCTTTAGAAGTGCTTCCTTACCATGATTATCAAGGGTGTGTTTGAAACTAGTTTAGATTTAAATCAATGCTGTAGCCTTTTAAATGCCACAGAATCAACTTAGTTGGAAGAGACCTCTGGGATCGTCAGGTCCAACCTTAGCCCTAACACCACCATGCCAACCAGACCATGGCACTAAGTGCCACATCCAGTCTTTTCTTAAACACCTCCAGGGATGGGGACTCCACCACCTCCCTGGGCTGCCCACTCCAATACCTAATGACCTTTTCTGTGAAGACATGCCTTCTCATTTCTAGCCTGAACTTCC